ATTACAAAGCATGAACATACTTACATGGCCATCAAATCCAGCGTTGTCCTCTCGTACTCAATTTCTTGTTCCGCTGCCATATTTGTACATAGTATTTTTTACATATTGATCAGCTGCAGTCTTGAGGAAGGTCTAGGACCTGCCTGTGCTGTCCGCCATGGGTGCCTAGACCGCAAGATTGGCTAAACAGAATATACATATCATTTGCAAATAACTATATGCATTTCACCTTTGTATTTACTATTCATTTGTGTATATGTTTGTTTATTAGCTATTCGGCTTTAATTAGAAAGACATAACAATAGTACAGTATCCTTAAACTTACTTTACTATTCTGCTTTACATGATATATTTTCCTTTTTATTCAAATGTGGAGATCTATGACTGCTTCGTGCTTGTTCTGGTTTACGCAAAGTATGCAGGGCCTACAAATTTAGTATCACCATCTTTTTATTCTACCGGGCCTGCGCTTTCAGAAAATATATGGTTTGGGGGGTCTTTTACAAACGCTAGCAACGCAGCAGTTGAAAATCAAATCAATAGGAAAAAATTGCAGAAAATTCAAAAATGGCTTGGCCAGCTGATTTGAAAAATGTTCCGGAGGGCTTGGCAGCGAAAGGGTTAAAGCCAGAAGCCGCCAGGTAGCCAGCATTTTCAGTAGGAAGCCAGCAATGGCATCCTATATGGTTCTCTTAGATGTGACAGCCATTGACATAAGATTACCGCCACTGGGAGTGTATTGCCTTTAATAAGTTGACTGACCCATAGACTTGCATTGTGAGAAGGAGCAGTCAAGCATGTTTAATACAGTATGTAGCACTGCAAAGCAGCAAGCAGAGTCTACATATGCAATGAGCATATATGACGTCCCCCTATGTACATTATGTATACCATAACAATCTATGCATAGGAACAAGGATTTATAACATCATTTACATCACAATGGTTTCTTTTAAGTCATTTTAGTAAAGATTGTACATTCCCTTTAATCAGATACAATGAGGCTGATTTATTAAAGGAGTTGAGAATGCGCATACACAATTTGTGTGAAGATTCACTTCAGTTATCCAATCAGATACAAATGAAAGAGAGCAAACAGGGATTTGTTTTCATGCTACTGGATAAGTGAAGTCATTATTCACACAGTTTATTTTGTGAACATTCTAAGCTTCTTCATTGAAGTAATATTAATGTCAAAGGTTTTTAAGCTATTTCAACTGCTGATGAAATCACATACAATGGATGCTGCTTCTTATTGTTTCAAATTTTTCGTTTCCTGCAGAATCAGCTGGTGCAAAAAGAAAAGTATTTATTGTCCAGAAATGAACAGAGCAAGGCAAGCTATTACCCTGCTCTTTGCTCTCCCTTCTCCCATCTGTAAGCTAGTAAATGAATAGTGGTGGGAGTCTTGTAATGGACAGGAAGTTCAGGGATGCGTAGCTGAGAGAGTTGAAGCCATCTGTTTAGAAACGTGATGACTAAGTATATTTGATCTGAATTCATTATTGAAAAATAAAGTTTGAAAGTTTACTACTACTTTAAATCTGCCTCTATGTTGATCCAGACAGTAATGTCGGGATCCGTCCCGGCTGCGGCGTCTCAGTATACTGTGAGCTGTAGCTCGCGAAATACTGAGCTTTGGGCGACAAGAGAACGATAGTTTGTGTCCTGACCCCATAGCTCTCCTTTAAAACACTGGCTAAGGGAATTAATTTACTGAGCGTATCGGCTACACACATGTAACATATTGTTTCTGCTGGTATTTAAACTTTGTGAAGTCTTTTAATGTGTAATCTGAAAACAATTGAACTTCTAATTGTTTGCATTTTATTAAATTAGTGTCAATAAGCAAGCATTTAAGTCATAATTATGTCAACGCATGTCACAGACTGATCTCCGATGAGAAAAGGTGCTTCTATGCTGTACACAGCCAACCTCCTAGGTACAGCAAGGGAACAAACATGGGATGGGACAGATGAGTATGCAAATATACACACAGGATGACTGATTAACATTCACATTGTCCCTTGTCATTCCCTTTATTTGTTTTGGTGTCAGTGGAATAGAAGCCATTATGTTGTAAAGCTTTTACAGGGGAAAGGAACTCTGATGTTAATATTGGTTTTATATTTAATATCAAATATATCAGAATTATTAGGCACTGAAAACAGCATTATGTCACCCTGATACCTATAAGCTGCTGTGATCTTCTTGCTGTACAGGCTGCTTATAACTAACAAGAAAGAATTGGAACAATGTGTGTCGGCACATATAAAATAGAACTACATTTTGTGAAATGAATCATCTTATTGATTTGAGGTTCTCAAACCATAACCTTTTTATAGGATCATAAACGTACTACGGTATATAAATGAAATACTAACCTACTGTAATAAAGACAATACGTTTGCTCCCTTATCTACAGTATCAGGAAGAGGTGTAATCATTCATCTAATGCATGCCTGACATTCTCAACAACTGCCAGCATGATCAGATGCTATCCATAGTACTGTACATATATATATATATACTGTATATAAAAATAAGATTACCTTTGAATCTCTTCTGATCATCTTTGGCCAGCCTTGCTGCAATAGCCAGTCCTATTCCTGATGAGCATCCTGTAACAAGTACATTTTTCATTGCCATCCTTGTTTCTTTGACCTGTCTTTGCTACAGCAGTATAAACCAGAGACCATCAACGTCGAGGAAATGTTACTTCTGGGGCTTCAGTTGCTCCCTCGTACTGTTTTATCCATGCCCGGGCTGCGTCAGCACATCTAAAAATGCAAACCTGCACAATTTGAGGCTAAAGCTGGATAATCTCTTTTCTGACATTAATGGGGGGTGAACGGTGTTAACGACATAATCTGGATAGAGAGCTGCACTGAAAGGCCAACACAGTAGAGTGGAGGTTGACTTAGGTTATGGTCATTACAATTCTTTGACAGTTCATTCATGTTAGATAAGCTTCTGTCAATAATTGTTGACTGTTGGGATTTCCTATTGACCTTTTATGCTCACATACAGCAGAAGACAACAGCACGAGGTAGAATTATTGTATTGTTTAAGGAATTTTGTATCCAGGTTTTATATTTGTACTATTTCTGATCCATGCTTCTGCTGTGTTTTATAAAGGGATCTGTAGATTCTTCTGCTGATGGCAAAAGTATAAACCCCTCCAACCCCCAGACATTGCCAAACTTTGTAGTGCTTAGTGTTCAGTAAAGAATACAATTTGATTCAATTGGAATTTTTTTTATTTATATAACATATACTTGACATTTGGATTTTTTATTTTTGAGTTTGTTAAATAAAGAGGAGGCAACTGCTGGTTGCATATGTATGGCTTTTATTTCTAAACATAGCATTTTGCGTTCTGCTTCTATTTAACTGTCCAATTAGACCTGCAGACCTGCAATGCAGCACACCACAAGGTAATGGACTACCGTGTTTTCTGATTGGGGAAAAAAGTGTCAGGTCCGGTTACAAAATGAATGGGCTGCCTTAACACAAGTTAACGTGTGCACAGCAGAGGTGTGATGGGGCCCCTAAACTAGCTTTTCCTGGCTTGAGGGTGACATGTACTCTATTCAGATCTTCCAGCTCACAATTAAAAAGGAATAGGCCACCATCTAACCACTCGTGCCTTATACGAGATAAAATATGTTATAGAGACCTCAGCTTTAGCTCACACCTAAATTTCAGGTTTAATCTGACCCATACAAATCATAGACATAAAGATTAAGGGTCCCCACACACCTTACGATTATCGTACGAGAATCGCGGGAAATCCCGCGATCGTACGATGATCGTAAGGTGTGTGGAAGCCGTGCGACCTCTACTACTGTAAGGTCGCACGACTTTAAACTTACGGACATGTTCGAAAACCCGCCGAGCATCGTACGATGTTCGGCGGGTTTGTGGCATGTCCGTACGATAACAGCCGCACGGGCCGGTGTGCACAAGCGCACACTGCCCGTTCGGCATTGCGGTCATCGGAAGCCCGCCCCTGGGGGCGTGGCTTGCGATCATCGCAAGTACAATCTGCCTATGCAACATAGGCAGATCGTACGTTTTTTTAAGTACCTTACAACCATCGCAAGACAAAAGTCTTGCGATGGTTGTAAGGTGTGTGCCCAGCCTTAGGATAACGTAAAACTAAAATGAGTTTTGAAGAAAACTGAAATTTAGACAAAACGGATTGCAGAAATGTACATAAGGATGCATTTTGTATCTGGAAACAATCTGGTCTGGAGATGATCTGGATGTGGTGCGAATGGGCCATAAAGGTTATATTCTGACTATGGGGGGGTTGAAACACTACGTTAGCTATAGGACATCCTGTTGGTGTTCCACAGATAAGGAAGAATGATGTAGCTTCAGCACCCTGTACACAGAGGCTTCCTAAATGTCATTTTATGATTTTATGACCCAAATTGGAAGATACCTTTTACACCAGAACATCACGTGTTTGAGTAACAAAGGAAACCATTCATTAAACATTATTAAGAAATCCCTTCATTTGACTAAACACTACTCCAGACAGACAATGCCAAAAAATGGTTTAGCCAGATTCAAGGTTTGCTTTGGCGGGTTTTTTTTTTATCCCCAAATCTTTTATTGCACTATCAAAGTCTTTACTTCACATTGCACCAGACTGAGATCCCCGTGACCAGGTAACACACTGCTCAATAGGATAGAATTATTCACAGCAAAGATTGAGACTCATAACTAATCACCCTGCATGACCCATAAGAAGATTACAGGAGCTTTCTATTTTATTTTCATTTCTGTGCCATGCTTGAAAACGCCGCCGTCATGAAAAGAAACGCAACAAAAGACGCAGTGGCATTTCTGTAAATCTTTTATTTCAAGAGCATATAAAATTTTCATTATCTTAAAGATTCATACAAATATCAAAAAGTAAAAAATACAAAAAAACAAAAACACTCATTTAAAATGACATTTAGAAAATAAATAAAGACATGTACAAACATAACATATATACAGGCCGGGCTTTGTCTGCGGGGTTTATTCTTGTGTAGATTGTGGGTCATGTCTGGAAAGAGAGAAGAGAATTATTTATAGCTGTGGCCACAAGAAGAGGTGAAGTCTTTATATTTGACTACTGCTGATAATTAATAGAACTATAACATGCACATTGTGAATACATTGAAGTAGCAGCGATATTACTGCCACGGATAGATAGACAGAACGTAGCCCACAATTACTTTGCACTGGCAACCAATATGGTCAATAGTGTTAGAAAATGTGCCACGTATAGAACACAACCAAATCTAAATTATGAATAAATCTAAATTATGGTTATTATTAAAAAAAGAATAATAAATCGAATATTAAAATAGAGATATATAAAGTACACAATTAGATAGAAAACATGACAATATCATATTAACTACAAAAATAATATAAAGACAATGCCAAGCATGAGATAGATTATTTTGTTAGAATCAGGTCTAAGGGCCCATTCACACCATGTCCAGATCATCTCCAGATCAGACCAGATTGTTTCCGGACCCAAAATGCATCCCAATGTATGATCCCTATGCTGTTTCTGGCCTCTGGTCACACCAGCACAGTCCATTCCAGACCAGTAAAATACTGCTTGTCCTATTATGCCTGGTCTATAATGCAGTGGAACGCATAGAAATGCATGAAAAACGCATCAGAACGCACTGGAACACACCTGTAAGACCATTTTAAGCTAAGAAAAAAAAATCCAAACACAGCAAAACCGTGGCAAAAACGCAATGCCACGATTTTCTGGACCAGATCTGGAACGCAGTGTTCCAGAAAATCGTGTGAACCTGCCCTCTTTATTGAAGAAATTGTTGAATTTATGGCCTCTGTATGTATACATTAAATAATGAAAAATGGAAGATATGATCACTTATGGCCAGTCCATTTTTGCCAGCACAGCAGCACGAGGGTGTAGAAAATAATACAGAATATTAGCACTTCTTTTCAATGTGGAAGCCAGCAGGATGTTTTATAGAGCCAGGAGGAAAAGCACATCCACTGCCATCAATTAGCATTCGCTTTCTGGATTTCCCACCCCTGCAGCACCTGCTGTACTACTGGCAACAAAAAGAACAGAGGTTTCTGACTGACTGAATCATTAAAGTTAAAATGTTTTTAAGCTATTTCAAATGATGATTTAATCATTTACAATGGATGCTGCTCCTTGATGTTTCAAAGATTTAGTTTCCTGCGGAATCAGCTGGTCCCCTGAGCACTGGCCCTGATATCCTGCTTTACGGTGGCTCCATTTCCTTTGCAGCCACCCTTGTCTGTGCTAGTAAGCTGTATTTGTCAACACACAGGTACATAAAGGCAAGCCAATTCCCTGCTCTAAGCTAGTAGATGGACAGCTGCTGGTGACTGTGCTGTCCTTTGTGATCTTGTACTGGAAAGGAAGTTCAGGGAAGCAGAGTTGAGAGTGTTGGAATCAGCTGATGACTAAGTGCTTGGGCATAAATGTAAAAGAAATGATTTCCTGGGCAATGTATTTTTGTGTGATCTAGATTCATTACTGAATATGTAATACTACTTTAATATTTTAGCGGAATCCCCAGAACATATGCTGGAATTTATATGCTACTTTTCCCCATCCACTGTACCCTCAACAACTGCTCTGCCCTCTAAATTATTCTAAAGGAAATTGGGAGCTGGAGCACCAAACTGAAGGAAATGATGATGTGATCAGTGATCAGTGACCAGGCGTATCATGCTAAGTGGGCTTCTACAGTAACTTAAACCACAAGTTCTAATGAGCTTCTACAGAGCTTACAGGGATTTTCAGCTGAATATGGGAACAGAGCTGATAGGTGATAAGTGGAGTATTCACACAAGTGTTTCCGTTACTGGACAGGTTAACTACAACTCTTTTTCACCCATTGCTCTTATTCAACTTCAACATGTATACACATGGAGTGAAATGATACACCACAGTCATGGTTTCACTGATGATGAAGGGATTTTCAACTTAAAATGGCCCTCCAAACCAACAGACCTGGGGTCCCTCTCCGTTACATACTACAGTGGAGTCCATACGTTACCTAAACCTTTCACAATCGCAGATTGATGGCCATTTTATAATGGAATCCCCAGAAAACTAGAATGTTTCCTGTTTTGTCTGGGAGCCTTCCATGTTTAGATATACAGGTGCCTCTGCCTCCTAAAGCTTCTCTAGCTTTTATCTGCTGAATCACACCAGTGAGATCAGGTATTGAGGTGTGACCATGAAATATAACGGCTCTATAAGATGATTACTGTATTTCATAAGAGGTCCTTCTGTTTACAGCATCTGAAAGCTGTAAGCCTAATACATATGGTCCTTGGCTGCTACTACCCAATGTCACACATGTATGTTCTCAATACTGTATAATAACATATTTCATGGGGAATGGTATTGTGCTTTTGTAGACATGTTCTTTCTTTATTCTAATCTCTAAACTGACATTACAAAAACATCTCAAATAACAGTAGTCCATTATTTGTGATTTTGTAGATTAACCACTTGAAGTCCGGACTGTTAGACCCCCTTCCCATTCAGGCCATTTTTCAGTATTCAGCGCTGCGGGACTTTGACTGACATTTATTCCGTCATGCAATGCTGTACTGAAATTAATTTTATATCATTTTTTGGGGACAGATAGAGCTTTCTTTTGGTGGTATTTAATCACCACCGGGGTTTTTATTTTTTTTAATATATTAAAGGAAAAATTACAGAAAATTAAAAAAAAAAAAATTTCCCCTATATTAAATTTTAACGGGTGTAAAAACGAGCGGGTCTTTCCTGCCCCGGCGTGCACGAGCATCCGAGTCTGCCGTCCCTCCGTTTTTTTTTTCTACGGGCGGACGGCAACTGGTTAACCTGCTCAGACCATCATACCGTACATTTCAGCAATCCGTTTTTTCTAAATTTAGTTTGGTTCACTTGCACAATCAGCAGGTGGCGTGCTAAAAGCTATTGCCCGCTATTTCTGCACATTCATTTACTGCTATGCTACGAACTCATACTCGCCCAAATTCTCTGATACCTTCCCCAATACCGGAACTACAGGTCAGAGGAAAATTTATTCTGACCGGCAGTGCCGTAGGGGAACATGGAGCTGGGTTCCTGGGCAATTAGGATTGGCCGGGAAGCTGGCTTCCCAGCCAATCAGCATCGAGCCAGCTAAACAACATGGAACTGGCTTTCCGGGCAACCGGACTTGTTGGGCGTCTTCCAAATACTGGACCTCATACCTGTGAGTAGAGGGATATACAGCACCACCTACTGAGGACATTCATATATATCATTTAGTGGTAATATCATTATGACATTGTTATATCTCACCCTTTTAAATATTACACCCAAGCCATGAAAGGCCTCAGGGTTAATAAGTGTACAAAGTGTATAAATGTATAAGGTTAATAAATGTACAAAGGACACTCATGGCATTAATACTTTAACAATTCTAGTAATGTGCCAAAGTAAGAGAAAAATAAGTCAAAATAAAGACAAACCTGTTTTTCTTGGCAACCCTCCTCAGTCCACAGATTCTTGTCTGGGCTGTGTGCCTGAGAGGCTTCAGATAATTTCATCTCCTGTTTAATGTATTTCAGCATTCCGCTGAGTGTGCCTAAATCAGGGCAATCTGAGATCCTATCACACTGATCATCCACTGCATACTCAAGAGGATTGAATGAAGTCTCACTCAAGGCATCGAAAGGCACATGTGTAGTGCTGTCAGTAATCCTCCTTCCTAGTGGGGAATCCTTTATGGCATCTATCATATTTTTGGGGAGATCTAGTGAGCTGATGTCTGTAAGGCTGCGATCGCTCATAGAGTGCTGTATCCTCCAGTTTTTCAAGTCAGAGGCATCAGAGAACTTGTAAGAGTCCAGCGCTTCATATTCACCAAGTATATCAGAAGAAAGAGAGGATGACTTTAGCAGCTGGTTAAGGCCAAGCTTCCGTTCCCACCCAGAGATGCATGCTTTCAACCTGGTCAGCTCAGACTCCTACAGAAAGAAAGAAAAAACTCAAGTAGAAGGACTACTGGTGTAAAGAACGACGTTCGTCAATTTCTAAACACAGAACTGTTCAGATGCCTAAATCTAAGCATGTCACAATATTGAGGCAGATTTACTAAAGAAGTTGAAGAACTCACCTCAGAAATCCATTCTTCATGTAGAAAATTGGATGAATATTCACTTCAATTATCCAATCATATGATAAGCAAACTCCTGCTCACGTTGCATACTCAATCATGTGCCAATGCTTCTCATATAATTGGATAACTGAAATTAATATAGTTTTTTTTTCAGGGAAGGTTCACAACTTCTTAAATCATCCTCAATATCTGATCAGGCTGCATTTTTTCTTCGCAAATATGATCAACTCCTAAACCAGGCAACCAGAATTATTATGAAGTATGTGTTCTGCTGTAAAGAGACCCTATAGCTTTTGAATGCTGTGTGTGTGTGTGTGTGTGTGTGTGTGTGTGTGTGTGTGTATATGTGTGTATGTATGT